TCTGCACGCAGGAAGTCAGAACCGGCTCCTATCTGACCGAACGCCAAACTGGCAGCGGCGTCAGCGTCTCCTGAAAACGTAAGTGGTCATTAGTTTCAATAAAGAGCTGACACAGGCTTGGAAATATAGAACAAGTTTTGGTGGTAGAGGTTGAAAGTTGAAGCAGGTCCCTGGGTTTTAGGCTGCAAACAATGATAGGTTAAAAAATGTGACTTACAAGGCGTCCACCCGGGGACACATTCGGTAACTTGCTTGACCTGGACTTGAAACATGAGATGTTAAATCCAAGTTTGGCATCAACATCCATCTTTGCTAACCTGGGTGAGAATCTTCACTTCGGAGAACTTTTCATCTTCATGTGGAACAGTTATCTCCGAGGAACTGTAACACACAGCCTCCTCCCTCTCTCTAGCTATACATACTTACTCTCTGGGCTCCACCATTGAAGAACAGAAATACACAACTTCCTTTATATATCATTCTTTTATACACAATACATAGAAGATGAAATGTCTTACGATTTCCATTTATAAAGTCTGAGTAAGAAATCAGAAATTATGTTTCCCAGGTAAAAAGAAACAGTTCACTCAGCGACACCTTCACACAGAATCCCACTTCTAACAACTGCAGCTGTTATACCACCGGTCAAGTCAATACAACAGCAGCGGTCTGGATTAAACTGATGGTTTCACTACTGATGAGTTATGCCTTTCCCCCAATATCTTAAATTTCTGTGAATAAAAATTTTTAAATGAAAATATTTGTTACAATAATATAATAGTTCGAAGTATTTTTCAATTTCTACTTATAGATTGCGCGCAATGTATCTTCATTTAAACGCCAAATATTTATAGTGTGGCGTGTAAGTGCGATGTTTGAAATTGGTATTTTCAATTATATTTCAGAATCCCGTTTATGTTGACAGAATATTACATCGAAGTGGCAACTTCTTTAAGCAGATCAAGCTAAACAACAGCAGAAACCGTCATATGTGGCCACTAACTGGATCAACCAGTTCTTTGCTAACCTGCCGCTCTAGCTACAGCCAGCTACCTAGCGGCCTTGCCCATCTTTCCCGTGTTTCGACGTACCCCTGCCTTCAATCCGTTCTTGGCGCGTGCTGTACCTACAGGTTCCTGTCTTTATAAAGCTTGAGGAAGAGAGAGTAGGACAAATTATCTGGCTTCATATAGAAGACCAAATGTGTATCGTTCTGGTTATATTGGTTGGATGAAGGATCCCGATAAGGATGTCGCTGAATGGGACTAGTGCAGGGATCGGCAATCTTTTGAGTCGAAAGAGTAAAAAATTACAATTTACAAAATATTAGAGTTTTTAAAGAGCCACAATATTTTTTTGCTAAAAATAAATAGTACACAGCATAAATAATATTTGCGTTTGGAACTATATAAAGAGCCGCAGTTTCTCATCCAAAGAGCCGCATGTGGCTCGCGAGTTGCAGTTTGTTGACCCCTGGACTAGAGTGTTCTCAGACAGTAAATAGGAAGCTGGTAGCACCATAGTTAGAGAGGTGGCCGGAATGTGAAGGATGGTGAGCTGGTGTTTCCAGTAGGGATGGCCATGTGTCAGGGGAACAGGTGCCAAAAAATGGCATTCGTGTGGGGGGGAGGTCGGAGTCTGGTCACATCTGCGGAGAGTGGAAGACGCGGAGATTTGCCTCCAGGAGTGTAGATATCCTGCAAAACGGTACCAGGACCTCGGCATCGGAGCGGCCTACAAGGTGGTGTAGCACAGGTTGGACGTGGACAGCATGGAGCGGAACGTTGACAAGGAAGATCCTTCTGATAGCGGACATTTGAGACAAGTCCATCTAAATGTACCTAGTTCTCAATCCCATCAACAGCTCCTGACAATAAAGTATAACAAACTAATCTGTATCCACAATGAACCTACATTAAACCTTGTACGAAAACAACGACCGCTGAAAAGCGTCTTAACAATATTGAAGACCAAGCTATGGAAAGGTTTAGAATAATTATATACGCATTTATATAGTTTGCTAATAGTGAATTTCATATAGGTGAAATATGTCAGAAATTATTTATGATTATATAACTTCGATATTTGTAGCTGTTTTAAAAGTTGCTAACCAAATACAAAATGAATGTATGTTTAAAAAGGTAGAATTTACCACTTTTCGGTGTCAATGGTCTCCGAGATTTCAGCATATCCGTGTAAATAGACAGGTCTCTGACAACTTTTAACTAGAAATTTTCAAACAGCATATTTAACTTTTGCACAAGTTTCGCAACTTCTGTTGATAATGCTATGTACCAGGTGTACTCGGGAAAAAGGTACAATAGAATGTCTCAGAAGTGGGCATTTTTGGTATATTTACGAGATAAAAATGACCCACAATAAAATAATTATGAGTTTAAACAGCCCTTTTATATAATTTTAAGTATAAAGTCTTGATATGCGAAGCATATATAGAGAAAAGATAATTATATGATATCTTGACTAATCCCATGCGTACTTGGGATAATTGAGAAAAACATTAACAGCAAACCCATCTAAGAAAGCGCCAATTTTGGATTTAAAAGAGCTAGATATAATGTACTGTGGGTTTTAGGTAGTCGATTTGGAATAAATTGCTGTCGCAGCAATGCACCTCTTTTGAACAATGGCGCCTCAGTCAGGTATGCGTCTACTGAGATTCAACAGATATTTTTTATATAAAGCAATAAGGCCACATCTATCTCTCTATATATAAAAGTCAATTTCTGCCTGTCTGTTTCGCGATAAACTCAAAAACTACTGAACCAATTGGTACCAAATTTTGCATGTCGCTTTTTATAAACCTGAGGAAAATTTTCGGCTACATTTTGCTTAGTATTTTTGGCTATTTCTTTTTTTTCATTTGAAAAACTTTTTTTTTACGCGGAGTAAATACGAGGCTTACGCGGAGTAAATACGAGGGTAAGTAACAACACGAGGCCAATTAAGCGACCAATGAGCGTTCTGCATTTCTTTTCAAGTTGCTTGCGTACTTTTTTTAAAATATCTTTTTATAAGAGTGTCACTTTTTTTACAAAAGTATTGAGAGAGAAATTTATATTACTAAGTTAAGGTAAGTTCAAACAATGCGAAATTTCACACAATTAAAAAAAAAAAAACTTTACAAAATTAGCGTTACTGTATGTAAACAATGGCTTTCTTATTTTTTATTAATTTTTGTTCTGGCCTTTGTTTTTTTTTACAGTCAATATGAAAATTCTTAAAATTAAACAAACAATAGTCAATATGAAAAAATACAGTAGTGAAAATTTAATATGAATTACTGTCTCATTTAACAGCCAAAACATGTGTTTGTCTATAATCCATATACCCTTTGGTTTTTATCAGCCTAAAATATTAACATGGCTATTTTGGCATTAGTTTTTTTTAGTATTATTTTTTTTCTGACATGTTGATAGGGCACTACATTTTACAAAGTTACGGTTAGTAAACAATGCAGATTTGACAATATTTACAAACTTTTATTACTGTATATAAACAATGAGCTTATGTTTTTTAATTGTTGTAATGGCCTTTGTTTTGTTATTCTTTAAAAAAAATCATATGTTTCATTGATAGTTTAAAATTTAGTCTGTTGTCATTTATTTTATTCGCTTGCCATTTCTGTGTATTTTGTTCTATAATGCTGCTTTCCTTTTGTTTACGCAGATATTAGGCTAGGGAAAAAATAGTTGAGCATTCTAAAGATTGACCTGTTTGACATGTTTTGCCATTAGCTTTTTTAGCCTTATTTTTTTCTGCTGAAATGTTGAGAGAGAAATTTGGTTTAGTTACCAAGTTATGGTTAGTGATCAATGTAGTTTTGATATTACAAACTTAAAAATTTCTACTAGATAATCAGTTTTGTTCTGTAACTTATTCTGATTTATTGGATTTGTTTTGGGTCTGCACTGTTTTCCTTAAAAGCTTTTTTAAATATATATATATATACAAAAATATTTTTGGTACTGATTGTGCTATTTCTGTTTTTAGGACATATTTTCAAATTGAATCATCCCATTTGATATGCCTCGCAAAATATCTGCAATTGGAGTAAGAACTCCTGCAGCTCGACGCATGGCTGCCCGAGCTGCTAGAGGCCAAAGTAGCCGCACATTGGAGAATCCCCAACAGTCTCAAGCCCGCCTCCAAAGTGACCGGCTGCGCCACAGAGTTCAACGCGCATCAGAGACTCCCCAGCAATCCCAAACACGACAGGAGGCTGACCAGTTGCGGTATTTCAGGCAACGAGCTAGCACTTGGGCTGATATGCTCAATGCTGCTTTCCATTACAATCCGGCCCTGAATTATGAACACTTTACTTTTCTTCAGATTGGCCATAAGGATAAACAATGTCTGCATTGTACTGCCTTTAAGTACAATGGTGAGCGGCCTGGAATGTGCTGTTCTGCAGGGAAGGTCAGAATTCCTGATTTACCTGAACCCCCAGAAGCTCTCAGAACTCTGCTCGATGGGTCTTCTCCTCACTCGGCTGAGTTCATGCAACGTGTCCGTCACTATAACAATGCCTTCCAAATGACATCTTTTGGGTGTGGTAGTCGTGTTGTGTTGCCAGGTTACATGCCAACGTTTAAGGTCCAAGGCCAGGTCTATCATAGAATTGGCTCTGTTTTGCCACCACTCAACTCTGATAGCCGCCAACTACAGCCAGCATTCCTTCAGGTTTTCTTCATCGGAGATAGTAGTGCAGAGGTTGCCACCCGCCATAGAAACTTTCCCATCACTAAGCCCCTAAGCCCCACTAATCTCAATGGTTAGCATTTTGCAAGATATGTTGCATCGACATAATCCTTATGTCCATTTGTTCAAAGCTTCCATTGAAAAAATGCCTTCTCCTGATTACAAGTTGTTCATTAAGGCTGACAAAGCACCGCCTGGACACCATCCTCGCACAATCAATGCTCCAACCATTAATGAGGTTGCCATTGTTATTGTGCAGGAAAACTGTGACAGACGTGACATTGTTCTTTCCAAAAGAGGCAGTGGTGTGCAGAGGATTAACGAGTTTCACAGGTCTTATGACGCCCTGCAATACCCATTGGGTTTTTGGAATGGTCAAGATGGTTATAATTTCCATATCCCTCAGCTGATTGATGGGGTTCTCCTTCGGCGCACAAGACGGTTTCTTGCATGGATTTTTATGCTTCACTGCTAATGATTCGTAGCCATAATCCTGGACTAACAAATTGGTTACTGGTTTTTGGAGATTTGATCCATCAAATTCTGGTCGACATTTATACCAAGGTGGAATCTGAAAGGCTGCATTGCATCTCAGCGCATCAAGCTCAACTTCGTGCAACCGAATACATCAATCTGTTAGATGCTATTCGCACTGACAGGAGTCATGCCCTTATTGGAAGACAAGTTATTCTTCCTTCTTCCTTTGTGGGCAGTCCAAGGCACATGCATGAGTATGCCCAGGATTGCATGGCTTACGTCCGTAAATATGGTCGCCCAGACCTTTTTATTACATTTACATGCAATCCTGAGTAGCCTGAGATAAAACTAATGCAATTCCCCACCCAAGGTGCATTTGTTCGGCATGACTTGGTTGCTCGCATTTTTCAATTGAAAGTTACCAAGCTTATAGATTTGATCACCAAGGGTGATGTTTTTGGCAAGCCCCAATGTTGGTGTTATACCATTGAATGGCAAAAGCGAGGGCTACCACATGCGCATATTTTATTGTGGCTTAAAGAAAAGATTCGCCCAAACCAGATTGATTCGATCATTTGTGCTGAAATCCCCAATGAGGAGGTTGATGCTTCACTGTTTCGGACTGTAACCAAAAATATGATTCATGGGCCATGTGGACATGGGTATCCTAATCCTGGCTGCATGGAACGGGGTAGATGCCAAAAGAAATATCCACGGCTACTCTTGGCTGAAACGCAGACAGATAGGGATGGCTACCCATTGTACAGACGTCGCAGGCCTGAGGAAGGTGGCTTTTATTTTGTTAAAAGAGTGAGAGTTTTCACCATAGAGAATGGTGTTCAGGTTGTACGCATGACTAATGTTACCATTGATAATAGGTATGTTGTGCCATATTCGCCTCTTCTATGCAGACTATTTGATGCTCACATCAATGTGGAGTCCTGTGCTTCAATCTCTGCTATAAAATATATCTGCAAATACATATACAAGGGTTCAGACCAATAAATTTTTGCAGTTACTGGTGCTCAAACATAGTCTAATGAAGTGCTAGAGTACCAACATGGTCGATATATTAGCAGCATTGAAGCTGTTTGGCGCATTCTGGGATTCCCTATTCACAGACGCCATCCAATGGTTCAACATCTCTCTGTACACTTGGAAAATGGGCAGCGTGTATATTTTACTTCTGCTAATGCTGCACTACAGGCTCACCGTCCACCTAAGACCACGTTGACAGAATTTTTTGTCCTTTGCCAGCGCGATAACTTTGCAAAAACACTTCTCTATGTTGAAGTTCCTGTTTACTACATTTGGTCTGCTTCTAAATTATGGCAGCCTCGAAAATAAGGCACTCGCATTGCTGACCAAGTTGCTTTTGCTTCTGATGCTATTGGCAGAGTCTACATCGTTCATCCAAATTTTGAGGAATGTTTTTATCTTCGCATGCTGCTTCATAGTGTTCGTGGTCCAACTTCTTTTGCAGCCCTCAGAACAATCAATGGTTTGCTCTGTCAAACATATAAAGAGGCATTTCTGCATTTGGAATTGCTTGAGAATGACCAGCAATGGCATCATTGTATTCAGGAGGCAGTGCTAAGTGAGTCTCCTTTAAAAATCCGGGAACCTTTTGCTATTATTCTTACCTGCTGCCACCCTACCAACCCTCAAGATATCTGGGCACAATTTAAAGAACCAATGTCTGCAGATATTCTGAATCTTGCAAGACAGCAAGCCAATGACGGTCTTTTACAGCTGACATACGAAATGTCAAATCAAGCTTTAATACTTTTAGAACAAAAAGTTCTGCAAATGACTGGTTTCCATTTGAAAATGTTTGGCATAAAGTCCCCACAGCGCAATGTTACTCACCGAACCAGTCATGAACTTTTAAGAGAAACATCGTATGATCTCAGCAGGTTACTACAATTTGTGGCTTCGAATGAACCGAAACTTGCCAATGTCCCTGAACAAAAGGAGGCTTACGAAAGGATCCTTTCTAAAATTGATTCCAATGCTGGCGGATTGTACTTGATGCTCCTGGGGGCACAGGAAAAACCTTTCTGATCAATCTTCTTCTTACAAAGGTACGAAGTACTGGGGACATTGCTCTTTCTACAGCTTCTTCTGGTATTGCGGCCACTCTGTTGCATGGTGGCAGAACTGCTCATTCGACTTTCAAATTACCCTTAGATTTGACCAGGGATGAGGTACCAGTTTGTAATTTGAATGCTGATTCCGCAATAGGCGAAGTTCTTAGACAATGCAAATTTATTGTCTGGGATGAATGTACTATGGCACACAGGCATGCTTTAGAGGCAGTTGACATAACACTTAAAGATTTTAGGCAGGATCTGAGACCAATGAGAGGTGTAGTGTTGTTGTTGGCCGGTGACTTCAGGCAGATATTGCCCATTATCCCTAGAGGTACAATAGCAGATGAGTTGCATGCTTGCTTATAGGCATCCCCACTTTGGTCATTTGTTGAAAGGCTTACTCTTTCAACAAATATGCGGGCTGTCAATTCAGGAGATCCTAACTCACTGTTATTTTCACAATTTTTGCTTCAACTTGGAAGTTAATTTTTCAAATGAATTGGTTAACACTGTTGTGTGTGTGTGTGTGACTCCCTCTCTGGCCTAAAGAATAGTGTTTTTCCTAACATTGGGGAAATGTTTAACCGGGGAAGGGCGAATTACTATCCTTGGCTTTGTGAGCGGGCAATTTTGGCTCCAAGGAATTGTGTAGTTGATGCCATAAATGCTCAGCTTTTGAATGAAATACCAGGGCAAAGCATTTTATATACTTCTGTGGATTCCACCATTGATGCTGAGGATTGCGTGGAATATACAACAGAGTTTTTAAATTCTTTAGAACCTTCTGGGATGCCACCACATCACTTAGAACTTAGAGTTGGTGTTCCCATTATTTTATTGAGAAATATGATGCACCCCGCCTTTGCAATGGTACCCGTCTCTGTGTTAAAAGATTGTGGCCTCATGTGGTAGAGGCAACCATTTTGACTGGTTGTTTTCAAAATGAAGAGGTTTTTATTCCCCAGATTCCTCTGATTCATGATGATAAACATTCTCCTTTGCATTTTAAAAGATTGCAGTTCCCCATTCGAGTTTCTTTTGCCATGTCGATTAACAAGGCTCAAGGTCAGTCCCTCAAAATTGCTGGCATTGACTTGGAGCAACCCTGTTTCTCGCATGGGCAATTGTATGTTGCCTGCTCTAGAGTTGGCTCAGGAAGAAATCTTTATGTTTTGGCTCCAGAAAATAAGGCTTCAAATTTTGTGTATTCTTCTGTGTTGTCATGAATAATTTTTTTTAAAATGCTGTTTTAGTCTTTTTTTTTTGTTGTTGTTTGAGTGGTCTAATATTTTCATAATTCTTTCTATATACGTATATATTTGATGATGAAATATTGATGCACCCCGCCTTTGCAATGGTGCCCGTCTCTGTGTTAAAAGATTGTGGCCTCATGTTGTAGAGGCAACCATTTTGACTGGTTGTTTTCAAAATGAAGAGGATTTTATTCCCCGGATTCCTCTGATTCATGATGATAAACATTCTCCTTTGCATTTTAAAAGATTGCAGTTCCCCATTCGAGTTTCTTTTGCCATGCCGATTAACAAGGCTCAAGGTCAGTCCCTCAAAATTGCTGGCATTGACTTGGAGCAACCCTGTTTCTCGCATGGGCAATTGTATGTTGCCTGCTCTAGAGTTGGCTCAGGAAGAAATCTTTATGTTTTGGCTCCAGAAAATAAGACTTCAAATTTTGTGTATTCTTCTATGTTGTCATGAATATTTTTTTTTAATGCTATTTTAGTCTTTTTTTGTTGTTGTTTGAGTGGTATATTATTTTCATAATTCTTTCTATATACGTATATATTTGAAAGGTAAATCTCTAGAATATTCAAGGACAGTTGCAGATTATTATGATTTATATTAATATTAGTTTTTTTAATTATTTTTCAGAAAAACATCTACGAATGTTTGACTGGGGTCTGAAAACATTAGATTACAGGCTGCTGGCTAGGCTTGGTCAATCACGGTCACTCTTCTCAAGCAATTTCAATCCTTATCCCTTTTTACCCAAAGAGTGTAATAGACCTACAGAGGATGCACCACTATATATAAGAGTTAACACGCTGGGGCGGGTACCTCGGAGGTTGGGTGGAAAATCTGCCAACTATTTGAACTATGTATTACTTCGGTGTTGCTATTCTATGGCTCTAATACTATTTATTAGTGATGTTCTTTCAGTATGAAGGAAATTGCACTCTGGGGAATTCCCGGGCGAAGCCGGGTCATTCGTCTAGTATATAATGAATGAAAGTATTTTAAAACATGAATGTTTCTTTTATCAATAAAACAAACTTCTACTGTCCTTACTGCAATGACAAAATATTGGGAGGGCTTGGCTCATCAGTGGTGGATCTCTTCTAGCAGTTTCACCAATTTAATCTACCAGACCGTTTTTTAGAGCTCTAATACTGTATTGGATATTCTGATTTTATACACTGCACTGAAGGGTGGAATCTTAGAAATGGTATTTGGATGAACTAATTTAACAAAATCAGCAAGCAGCCCAGGTAGGAATGAATATGTATTATATTGGTAAACTATGGACATAAGATTTTAGGAGAGTAGAATTGCATATAAATATTTGCATCGAGCGAGGCTCTTCCTCAAACAATAAGGACAAGTTAGGCATAAATTAATATAAAGCAATAACGCACCTGTTTTCGGAAGCGCATTGCTCGATGCAAATATTTATAGGTAATTCTACTGTCCTTAAAGCTTATGTCCATAGTTTACCCGCATACCATTTCTGAGATTTCACCATTCAGTGTAGATATATAGGCAGAATAGTTCAATACAGTATTATAGGTCTAAGAAGTGGTCTGGTAGGATTTCACCATTGAGGGGCCAAGCCCTCTCAATATTTTTCATCGCAGTGAGGACAGTATAGAGGTTTGATTTATGCGAAAAATAAACATTAGTGATTTTAAATACTTTAATTTCTAAGACACATATTTAGTTAAAAGACATAAAAGGGGCATCTATACATGAGATATAAAACCATTAAGCATTTCTCTCACAAATAATTCAAACATCTCTACTGTCCTTACTGCGATAAAAATAATGAGAGGGCTTGGTTCATCAGTGGTGAATTGTTTTCTGAAGAGCAGTGCTCAATGCAAATATATATGTGATATTCTACTGCCCTAAAAACCCATGTCCATAGTGTGCTAAAATAACATACCTAAGATTCCGTCTTGCTGTCTCATATATGGGCAGAATTGGCACACGCCAAGTTCTCCAAGGAGGAAGAAAGTTTTTCTTGACAAGTCCAAAGTAAAAGATATGCTTGTAGTGTTTTTCGATTATCAAATACTTGTCTATTATGAATTTATTAAAGAGGGGAATACTATTAATAAACAGGTATACAAAGAAATACTTGTGCGCCTTCGTGATGTGATAAGAAGAAAAAGAAATAAACTTTTTAAATCAAAACAGTGGAAATTGCTACAAGATAATGTCCCTGCTCATAGAGCCATTATTGTTCAAGACCTTTTAGCCAAACACTCTGTATCTGTCTTGCCACTTCCTCCTTACTCTTTTGATATCGCCCCATGCGATTTCTTCTCCTTTACAAAACTTAAAATGACGTTAAAAGGGAGGTGCTTTTCATTGTCATATCAGAGGTAATTGAAAATGCGACGGTGGAGCTAAACAATCTTAGAAAATTTGACTTTGAACTAGCATTTCAACAGCTTTTTTCACGCTAGAAAAATTTGTTGATAAACAAGGCTCCTCTATTGTGATAAATTCAATGTTTAAATTACTATACCATGAATAAATAATAAATTTCTAAAAAGTTAGGGAATGTGTTGATAAAAGTTGGATAAAAGTTTCACATTTTTTTCTCATGGTGTGTGCATTTTATCACTTTAAATTATATTTCTATTATATATATATCAATGCATTATTAATATATATATATTATTTTGGATAAAAGGTATCTCCTGGAAAAATAAACTTTTATCCGGCAGAGTTTCCTCACCACTCTGGAAGTATCTGCCTCGGCGCGTTACCCTTTTTGGCGGTTCACCCCCCAGGAGCCCTAAATGGTCCTGAGAAGTCCTATTCCACTTCTAGCTTTTACTAACCCCACCATTGGATCTGACCTGATGGCGCCAGCAAAGCTAGGGCCCTAGAACTGAACAATTGTTGAAGACTCGTATCCCAGGAAACTGAATAATTTTACAAACCAAGATAAATTTGATATATATTTTAAATATGTTATAAGCTATAAAAATAAGAAAATCAAGTTCACAATTTCATATGATGTTGGGATATGATTGATTTATAATTCCAGAAAATTAAACCATTTTTTACAAAGTTAATATAATGGTTCATCTATGATAGAGAGATGATATCTGACACGATTCTTAAGGAAAATTATTAAGATTATAAGATTGATTGTATTTGATGACTGTGTGGTGATATTCCTATATGTAGTTCTTGAAGTTCTGGGAGCTGGATAGAATTTAGCAATTGGACTCTGTTTCTTAAAATTAATTATGTAATCTATTAATAGCGCGAGATATTCATGTTTTTAGTTCTTATGATAATTCTGTAATAATAAAATATTATGCAAATATATAACTTTTCAGTAGCATATAATCTCATTTAATAGAAACTACACTAGATAATATTCAATAATTATCGAATGATGATTCAATAATGAATCTTGATGCAAGCAGTTCCGCATTCTGCTTTGAAAGTCTCAGGTCACGTGTCAAATCATTCATTTTTGGTTGTGAAAAACGTTTTGGACATTCTTGTTCTCCATAGTTCTCACTATAAGAATCATTCAGTTCGATATCCATTTGTGTGGTGTGTTCTGTTTCATCATAAAGAGGAATATTAGCACTGGATGAAAAAACTGGGAGGGGACTATTTGGGGTGTGTGGTATTGGAAGTCTAGCTGAATATAGGTCTTTGTATATACGCTTTCCATTACCATTCCTGTTAAAGTGTTTCAATTCTTGTACGCAAAAGTAACAATCATTGTCTTGATTTTTTGGCCCTCGCCAAACCATAGGAATCCCAAATGTCAGTTGCCTTTCACCCTTCGTTCACAGGCGCAGTGTTTCGACACACGTTTTGCATACCTTATGTGGAGCCCATGTCTTGTCCTGGTCTCCTAATATTATACCAAAATATGCGAAATACCCCCGCTTTACAAATTGTGTTATTGCATTTCTCTGCGCTTTTACCGTATATTCGCCACATATAAACCAGAAAATATTTGGGTCGTTTTTGCAGGATCTTCTTTTGGAAACCATGTCTGGAAGTGAATTTATTAATGTGTTAAAATTTTATTTTCATAAAGTTGATTGCATAGCTTTTAAATTAATGATGCTTGAAATAATAATTTTTATTAAATTTAATCTGTGTGAATAAAATATATTTTCACTAAAAATTTGAATACTTGTTTAATTTTTGACAATTTCAAATTAGAAGTGATGGTATAATGTTTGGAAGTAATTTATTCATTTTAATTGTTAAAATTTTATTTTTATATGAAGTTAATGGCGTATGTTTTAGAAGAACTTTGAGATGTGATGATTGTAAAAATTATGAAGCAATCATGACTTGGCAGTTTTCTTTATGAAAATATTATTTTGGTGAAATACAATTTATCGTCATTATCTATATATTTTGATGACATACAGAAAAACTAAGTGCAGATACGGAATCAGCGCCATTTGATTACTAAAGAAAGCATTTTAAATGCTCAAACATTAAAACTTTTAAAAATTTTGTAGACCTGTGTAATCGATACTGAGAAAGAGTTGAATTAAAAAATTAGAAATTTTTCATCTTCGAAATTTAAATCACTGAGAGGATTCCATCAAACTACAATATCAAATTTTTTTGCTACATGTTTTAATTTGCATTTACCTATTTTACATATCTCTGATTGTATTTAAAATTGTCATCCAATTATTCTACTTTTGGTGAAATGGTGCTTTATAAATTTATCATTTAATATTATTAGGGTTCTTTCCTGGTATTAAAAAAGGAAAAATACGTGTCGACCAGTTATATTTTTCAATTTATCAAACAATTTAGCCGCTGAATATCTGATTCTGGTAGAGCGCCATCTAGCGAATAATATTGTAACTAAAAACAATTTAGAATTTTTCGCATTTTGCCATAAATATTCCCATTGCATCCTGAACATAATGGTGTTTACCCGCATTGCTCTAGCGCAAATATTTACGGAGTTATTAATTTTTAAAATTGTGCAAGACTTTTGGATCACACTGTATAATAAAAAGCGCGAAGCACATATATTTCCAAAAATTTGTTCAAAATGAAAATAGGAAAGAAATATGAAGTTTTATTTGAATTGGTTCTTAATCTATTTGATATTCTTTGAATTGAATATAAGGTTGAGTGTAAAATGTTCTTTAAAACACCCGCGAAATAAGCAAAGCAGATGTGCTATTTGATGCACCTACTTTGCATATATACTAATAGTAATAGCCAGTCTTAAACGAAAAATGTTCTACTGGAAGGCTGCCACTGGACAAACGGAACTTCGGGTCCTAATACTGTTGGAGGCGATACCTCTCAACAAGAGATGTCGCAATAGTAATTTGTGAAAGCGAGGGAACAGTGACTCAATTGACCGTATCAAATTCGTACCAATGCATCAAATCAGGTGAATAAAGCCTTGCAGATCAAATCTGTAAAGGACGGCCAACAAGGCTGAAAGCTGAAGATCTCCGGGCCACGTTGGCCACGTCCGCGAACAAGTCTGCATCGTGTAGCCGGGAATTGACAGCGCTTAAGAACCATCTGAATCGTTTGGATTACGTTCACAAAAAAACCTCGTCAAGATCACATGAGTTGACTACAGCACAGGTACATCAACGCATTGCCGTCAGCTACTTGAAAACCCACGGGACGGTCGTTTCTAGAAACGTATCGTGACGATGTAATAGAAATGGGTCTACCTTATGAACTACAACTGTCACAAAAGATGTGTCGCACCAGGCCATGAATCACCATCAGTCGAACGCCAAGATTGCTTTACCAAGAAGGTGATGATATCGGTATGCTGGAACTTTGAGGATGTCCTCCATTTCGAGCTTGTCCCGAATAGACGATTTGTTACTATCGTGTAAATTTCACACCTATTGTCTTTCGCTTTTTCTTGGTGTAGCAGAAATAATCGTAGGAACTGTAGAAATGGTGTTGTGGCGACCACACTTTGCTTCAGCGAGCGCGAACTTCAACTAGCCAACGCTGCACTCTTGCACCATCCTTTTCCAGAAGCGCCTCTCTGCCTTACGGTAGATGCCTCGGATTTTGCTGTGGGCGCCGCGCTTCACCAGCAGGTTGGCACCAATTTCCAACCAATAGCGTTTTTCTCAAGAAAACTAGACGGAAGCAAATTGTGGTCGCAACAGTGTAAAAGATAAATGCATCTAATTCCTCCCTGTAAAATTTACGCGTATTCAAAGGTAATTTTCAAGCACAAACAGTGGACATGGCATCTGCCCGGTAAGCGGAACACTGGGGGTTAGATTCCCATCCCTGGACACTTTATTTTTCCGTTTATCATTGCTTTTCACAATTAATCTTTTCATACTTCATCCCTAAGGATAGAAAAAGTCGTTATTTCTCCTTAAAATAAATTACGATTTTTAGTTCAAAAGAAACATTTGTGGTAAAATTGTTAAACATCGTTCTATAATCTTTTGGAATGTTTTGGTTAGTTAGAAGTTAAAAATTATTACATGTTTTTCAAACATTAAGGATTTAAAAAAAATATGCAATATTGAGTATTACATATCA